TAAAAATCCAATTGAATCATAATATTGATCTCATTCTTATACCCAACAACTTGCTAAACACTTTTATTCTAATAATTTTTCTGTTGAGTCACTGGTATACTATTTCCTGAATATCAAACATATGATTGCCTACCAGTGCCAGACACACAAATTTTTGTGCACCGGGCTTCTAGTTCATTTATAAGTATCCATATATCAGAAATGAATATGAAGATGATTAAGATGCATTCTCTGTAAGTTTTAGCTCCTTTATGCAAGCCCAACATTTCCTATTTGCACAGCATGATTTTTTAAAAACAGTTTAAAACCCAGGTATTTCAAATTTTAATCTATATTTAATATCAAGCCATATTCTAAACTATAAAATGTCATCATAATAAAATAAATTTTAGAATTTTAGAGTTTTCCATATTATGAAAATAGCAGTCAACTATTTAGAAAAAAAATGCATGAAGTATGCTCAGATTTAATTTCATAATTAACCTAATCAAACAATTTTATAAACAGTGAGCATTGTCATGCTTAGCAACTTTAATGCTTAAGTCTGAAACAACAGGGATGTATAAGAATACTTGCACTTCACAAGAAACATCTTTTAAGACTTTTGTAAAGTCTCAAGTACTTTAAAAACATGTAATATCAATAATAAAATGCCCTATACCTAATTAAGAACATTAAGTGATTCTTCAGGGCCTTAATGGAAATCACATGTACATACAACATAAACTAGAAAATAAAACCCCATGGTAATATGGATACTAAACCAAGATTACTCACTCGTCAAATGACTCACAGTGGTTAAGTGACACTCTAACTGAGCATTGCCTGATTCATGTCTCAGCAAAATTAGACATTAATATAGACCATGAATCTTCAGCATTGAGGACATGTAAAATAAACAAGGTTAAATCTACAAATACCTAGAATTTATAATACTGAGAAACTTCATCAGAACTACTGAGCACATATAAAGACTCTCAATTATGATCATTATTTTATACTATATAAATTCATACTATTTTCAAGAAATGTATACACTCATTGCTGTAATTTCTGTATTTTAATAACTTAAAAATATGCTTAAATATCTCAATGGAAAGGGAAATCAAGTAATTCTACAGATTATCACTGACTCTATTTCATATTTTTTGAAAGACCGTGATATCAAGCTACTCTGGAACATAAAACTAGTCTGGTTGGCATAGATTACAAAAATAAAATAAACTCTTTTTAAAAAGAAAATTTTTATTGATTTCAGAGAGAGGAAGGGAGATGAATAGAGGTATTTCAGAGAGAAATACTGATGACTAGAGAGAAAATTATTGATTAGCTGCCTCTTCCATGCCCCCACTACTGAGGATCGAGCTGGCACTGGGGCAAGTGTTCTAACCAGGAATCAAACCATGGCTTCCTGCTTCACAGGTTGATGCTTAACTACTAAGCAACACCAGCCAGGCAAAAAAATTATTTTAAAGAAGGTAATTATATTGTAAAAATGGAAGGGTAGGTAGATTCTAATAATTCTGTACCTCCAAAAGAAAGGCACCTTATTAAACACACCATTAATAAATATCTTCATGTCTGACATGGCAAAATCACTGAATTGAAGAATAAAATTTTTAAAAATAATGACAATTCTCTGCAGGCATTAAACTGATTAAAAACAGGAGATTATAAGTGAAATGATATGCTAATAATTATTAAAATGTGACTAAAAATATCTTTTAAATGATCAATAAAAAATTCTTATTGAAAGGCATATAGCAGTCACGTGGGAGATAGGATAATGCATAGGCTCACAGAGGGCACATGAAGAGCATTAAGGTCAAGGATGATGAATTTATAAGATTAAGTCCTGCCTTACTTTCTAAAATATTGTGCAAAAAGACTTATCCTTACGTCTGGTGGTGGTTCTTGATCATTTTCCCATGATGCATCCGATCCCTTCTCCCTAGGAAGAGAAAACAAAAAGTCAAAGTACTTGCTGACATTGTTAAGCACCTGTAACTTTACGGTATTAAAAATAATAAAAGTATCCCCTGGCAGGCGTGGCTCTGGGTCAGTGGTTGTGGTTAGAGCATCAGCCTGTGCACCAAAGAGTCACGGGTTCAATTCCCAGTCTAACGGGTTGCAGGTTTGAAACCTGGCCCGGTGGGGGCACATACAGGAGGCAACCAATCGATTTGGATCTGTCTTTCTCTCACATTGTTTTTCTGTCTCCCCATCCCTTCCACTCTCTCTAAACATCAATGGAGAAAATAACCTCAGGTGATGATTAACCAAAATAATAATAATAACGTTAAAAGTAAAAGACATGAGCTCAACTCTTAATTCTGCAACATACATGAAAATAAAAGCTAAAAATAAAAGACCGTTTTTATGTCCTTTAACTTGTTTCTGAAGCTGTGGGAAGCTCATAAGAAAAATACAACATTTGGACATTTTAGAATTGGGGGTGGGGCGGTCAGAATAAGAAGTGAAGGGTGTGGTGTGCAGACAAAAGTACTTTTGCAGTTCACAAGCATCTCCAGATGCTATGACTTGATTAATGCTTTCATGATATCTGAGCTCAGTTGATAAACCTCACTTCTATAAATGCTTATTCTACACAAACTATAGGTCAGACACTGTTCCAGGTGCTAAGGACAGGAAAACAAGTATGAGGCATTTCCTTGTCTTAAGATTTTACGGGTTTAATGGTAATGATAACAACATGAAATTCTTTTTCCTCGATTTACCTGAAGAATATCAATACTCCATGAATAACCAATGCTTATTCAGTTATTGTCAAAGCAGAGAGGGTAAAAGGCTATCTAGTTTGGGGAGGAAGAGGAGTTTTGAAGATTCTGAAGGACAGACAGTATAATCACAAGCATTAATTACTTTTAGTGGACAGTTTTATATTCCATGACCAACAAAAGTACACATATCTACTATGAGTATAATTATAATTTAAGAAAGTTCATTTTAAATCTTAGTAATCTTTTTGATTTAATAGTTTGACAATATCTTATTATTTGATTATATTAAAACTAGTGACCTGATGCACGAAATTCATGCACATTAAAAGGGAATTAGAGGAAATATTTTAATATTGCTATTTGCCCTTTCTCTATAATAGAAGTGTCAGAGATGAAAGAAAATTAGTAAAATGTATATGAAAATCTTCCTCCTGTCAGAGTCTGAGGTGCACCAGGGGAATCAGAGACAAATCCCCGCCCACCATGTGCGCCTCAAAATCGCGCGAGACCCAGAACCGGCAGGCCCCACCCCACTGGGCTAGATCCAGACCTGGCCGGCCCCACCCCTGTCAAGGCCTGCTGGGTGGGGGGCATGGCCTGAGATCCTCCATCAAGGCCAGCAAGGCGGGGGGGGGGGCATGGCCTCAGGTCCCCTGGCCCGGTGCAGGGGGTGCACCCTGAGGTCCCCCGTCAAACTCTGCTTGGTAAGGATGTGACCTGAGGTCCTCCATCAAGCTGCGCTGGGTGTGGGGGGGGGCGTGGCCTGAGGTCCTGTCAAGCTCTGCCGGGTGGGGGACGTGGCCTGAGGTCCCCTGGCCCAGCGCCGGGGCGGGGGCATGGCCTGAGGTCCCCTGTCAAGCCCCACCAGGCAGGGGACGCAGCCTCAGGGCTCCTGGTGCCAGGGTGGGGGACGTGGCCTGAGGTCCCCTGGCCCAGCGCCGGGGCGGGGGCATGGCCTGAGGTCCCCTGTCAAGCCCCACCAGGCAGGGGACGCAGCCTCAGGTCTCCTGCCCCAGCCCAGTGCCATGCAGCCTCAGGCCCCTGCTGATTGCTCGTTAAGGCTCGTTATGGAAACTCAGCCTCAGCTGTGGGCGCAGCCACCTTGACAGTTACGGCATGACAATCAATTTGCATATTCCCTCTTTATTAGATAAGATACTAGAGGCCCAATGCACAAAATTCATGTATGGATAGGGTCCCTAAGCTTGGGCAGCGATCAGGGCCGATCTGTGGGGCAATCGGGGGGTAGGGGGAGGCTGCTGGCATACACCTTGGCTGGCCTAGGGCCTGCGGGCAGCTCCTGCATTGAGCATCTGCCCCCTAGTGGTCAGTGAGCATCATGGCAACAGGTTGTCATGCCATTCAGTGGATACGCATATTGGGCTTGTATTATATAGGACTGGAACCCCAGGTCACTGGTAGGGTTGCTAGTGGCTGGTGGCGGCCGGCC